CCGCCTTGTTCACCCATGGCGTACATAGTGTCCTCACTCATTGCACACATTGTTAGGTTACGCCTGCACACATTGTTAGGTTTCGCCTGTTCAATCGAGTACTTAGTAACGTCTTATCATGCTTGATAACACCCATGCATTAGGCTACAGAACCCAAATCGACGGCGTAACTGCCACATGGGAGTGCTTTCAGGGTCCCGCAGGTCGTTAGGGTTTCACCTACATTACTAACATGATGAGGAGGTCAGGCTCGGCAATCTCGGCATCGTGCTCAGGAGGACTTCAGCCATTGCGCCGTCACATGACATGTTAGCTTATAAGCGAGGTACCCCGTACCCGTTTGCGTTACAGTTCATACGTACAAACCCATAGCAAAGGCTGGCAACATCGTCACAAAGGATTGTGTGGGCTCTGAGTAGCACAGTAGATGCGAGCATGCTCCCGCCGGCTTTCACAAGTAGCCCTTTGCCGGCACGCCGTTGTTACCAATTCACTAAATACTGTTTACGGTACCAGGACACACCAAAGAGGAGCGCTAATCGGTGTTGCCGAGGTGGTCCTTTTCGATGGCTGGTCAATAAGTTGTTTATTGCGAAATCAAGTTTGTTTGGCTTCCAGTTATTTTTACTGAATACAGATAACGAATATCTATTAGGTGCAATTAATAGTTTTGTCTAGTTTATATGTTTTGACGTTACGGACACACGGACACACGGACACACGGACACACGGACACACGGACAGGGGCAACCCTGGGGGGCGAGCCCCCCCGAAGCCGCTCCGCGGCGGGGGCTCCGCCCCAAAAAAGGACTGTGGCCTCATGGTTAGTTTGCAATCTGGATGCTTGCTTTCAGCGCTTGAGGGATGTATAAATAAACTGGTGGAAGTTATTCAGGCCTCACTTGTGGCGGGAGCCAATCCTGGCCTAGGGGTCGCATAACTTGTGCGAAGTGCCCAATCACAAGAAGTAAGCGATGCTTTCGTTAACAGCAATCGGCCATAATTAGACAGAGAGCCTGTTGTTCTTGCGTTCTCGGTTCGGATGTACGGCGTAGCTTGAGCTACGCCGTACACGCTCCACCAAGGGATGTGGCTCTCTTATCAAACATCCTCAAGATAAAGGTGCAAAGATAAAGGCGATTCATTCACACATAAATAGTTGACTTCATAGGATTCGTTGTGCACACCCTACGGAACTTGACCAGCTGTTTTCCTGTAGCATGTGAGCCATTTCAGTAACCTATACGCATATAAGAGCTGTTTAGGAAGTAGGCATGGATTGTCTTCCAACGTCGTTTGAAGTTTGTGTTACTCGTTCACGGAAGGCCGCTGTCAACGCTCAGGATAGGTTAAACGACTACATTAAAGCAAAGTCCTTGGTTTGCGTCGAGCTATATCGGACGGCTGTCTTTATATCAAGCCAGAGGAGGGGAACGACTCTCCAATTTGAAGGCTGGCAGGCAGATGTCCCCGGCAATGCCAGCCCAAGCACTCTATACAATCTAAAATTTAAAAAGAAGGGCTTTGAGGTAAGCTGCGGACACGAAAACGTTGGTCGATGCGACAATAGGGATGCTAACGTCTTCTTTCACAGGAATGCTCCTTGGTGGAGCTCCTAGGGTCCCAAATCAGCAACCTCGATTCCTTTAGATCCGTTCTCCACAAGAACACAGACGTGTTTGTGCAAAAATGTTTGGAAGACAAAGGAATTTACTCCCCATCAGCTCAGCTGAACTACGTAACCTACCTTGCGGAGGTGACACGTCCAAGGGGTCATGAGATAGGCACTGCAGGTGGCTATTTCTGGCTACAGAAACCCTGGCTCAAGAAAAAGAAGGTGAGTGGTAGCACCAGAGTCCAAGACATGCATGCAAAGCACCAGGCTCACAAGTGTATGCCTACCAGGAGCTGGAGAATGCTTTTGCAGCAGGCAGCCAGACAGCTCAGGCAGTCAGCAGTGTTCAGAATAGGCGTTTTATTCCCACAGCTTCGCGCACTCTTCAGGCGCAAACTGGCCTAGGCTCACTGGGTGGTGCCTCCAGCAGTATGCACGTTGCAGCGGCTGCACCCTCCACATGATTGGTGCCTTGGCAAGCCTCGGGGCACAACACCTTGGCCAGTGAGGCAAGCCCCAGCCAACGTACAGCTGGCCTAAGCCGCTGCACAAGCCCTGTACTGTTAAGTGAGGTGGGTGCGTTGAAGAATGAACACTGACAGCCCTGCCGGCAAGATAATATTTTGGGTAAATGGTGTATGACATGCTATACATCCCTCTCAGGAAGCACAAGGCTCCGCCGAGGGAGACTGGGGGGCTGATCTCCAGGGCCAGCGGTTAATGAGCTTATTTGAGATGGAGCCAGATGAAGAACGCCTTGGCGATAGGGAGGCCTCGCCACTCACCAGAAGTCCCAGCTGGGAGGTGAGTGCAGCCGCTGCACGGCCATTCAGACCGCAAGCTAAGAAGCGTGCGCATATCGGCGTGCATCTGCAACAGGCCCGTTGCCTGTTGTGTCGCATGCACGGGCTGCACCGCATGTCCCCAACACTGGCCGAACCCTCAGTCTCCCACCTCTGTTGCTCACTACACACGCTCTACACCACCTCACCCCTGTCCCAGGTTCCTTGCCCCTCGCCACTTCCGCAGCCGCAGGCCTACCCTCGCCTGGCTGGACTCATTAGAAGCCGTCGAAAAGGCGTTGCAGGCAACTCGTCCGCCAGGAGTCCCCGCTCAGAGGTCAGCATGCCGGCGTTGCATGCAGCACTTGACGGTGGCCCGACGTTGGGCATTTCGAGGCAGCTCATTTTGCGTGCTGTCAACAGGATTGCACGCTCCCTTCTCCACCCGCCCCTGTCCCGCGTTCCTTTCCCCCCGCAGGCCTCCCCTCGCGCCGATGGACTCCTTAGCGGCAGTCCTCACGGCGGTGCAGGCAACTCGTCGGCAAGGAGTCCCCGCTCAGAGGTAAGCATGCCAGCCTCGCATGCATGCAGCATTTGACGGTGGCTCGACGTTGGGGATTTCGGGGCAGCTCCTTTTTCTTGCTGTCAACAGGATTGCACGCTCCCTTCTCCACCCGCCCCTGTCCCGTGTTCCTTGCCCCCCGCAGGCCTCCCCTCGCGCGGGTGGACTCCTTAGTGGCCGTTCGCAGGGCGGTGCAGGCAACTCGTCGGCAAGGAGTCCCCGCTCAGAGGTAAGCATGCCAGCCTCGCATGCATGCAGCACTTGACGGTGGCCCGACGTTGGGCATTTCGAGGCAGCTCCTTTTGCGTGCTCCCTTCTCCACCCGCCCCTGTCCCGTGTTCCTTTCCCCCCGCAGGCCTCCCCTCGCGCGAATGGACTTCTCAGCGGCAGTCCTCAGGGCGGTGCAGGCAACTCGACGGCAAGGAGTCCCCGCTCAGAGGTAAGCATGCCAGTTGACGGTGGCTCAACGTTGGACATTTCCAGGCAGCTCCTTTTGCCTGCGTCAGATAAACGGGTAGCTCTGCGTTGACCGGTGCCATACGCCTCCGTTCCTCTGATTGCCGCACGTCTCTTACCTGTACTGTAGCATGCTGGGCTAAATCGTATGTCGTTAGCACTGGCCGAACTCTCCGTCTCCCACTTCCATTGCTCACCGCGCGCGCCCTCACCCATCCGCCCCTGCGAGGATTTCAAGCGCCCTCACCCATCCGCCCCTGCACAGATGACGCGCTCCCTCCCCCTCCCGCACCTGCTCCGCGTTCCTTGCCCCCCGCAGGCCCCCCCTCGCGCGGATGGACTCCTTAGCGGCAGTCCTCAGGGCGGTGCAGGCAACTCGTCCGCCAGGAGTCCCCGCTCAGAGGTAAGCATGCCAGCCTCGCATGCATGCAGCACTTGACGGTGGCCCGACGTTGGGCATTTCGAGGCAGCTCCTTTTGTGTGCTGTCAACAGGATTACATGCTCCCTTCTCCACCCGCCCCTGTCCTGCGTTCCTTGACCCCCGCAGGCCTCCCCTCGCGCGGATGGACTCCTTAGTGGCCGTTCGCAGGGCAGTGCAGGCAACTCGTCTGCCAGGAGTCCCCGCTCAGAGGTAAGCATGCCAGCCTCGCATGCATGCAGCACTTGACGGTGGCCCGACGTTGGGCATTTCGAGGCAGCTCCTTTTGTGTGCTGTCAACAGGATTACATGCTCCCTTCTCCACCCGCCCCTGTCCTGCGTTCCTTGACCCCCGCAGGCCTCCCCTCGCGCGGATGGACTCCTTAGTGGCCGTTCGCAGGGCGGTGCAGGCAACTCGTCGGCAAGGAGTCCCCGCTCGGAGGTAAGCATGCCAGCCTCGCACGCATGCAGCACTTGACGGTGGCCCGACGTTGGGCATTTCGAGGCAGCTCCTTTTGCGTGCTGTCAACAGGATTGCACGCTTCCTTCTCCACCCGCCCCTGTCCCGCGTTCCTTGCCCCCCACAACTACAGCACCAGCAGGCCCCCCCTCGCGCGGATGGACTCCTTAGTGGCCGTTCGCAGGGCGGTGCAGGCAACTCGTCGGCCAGGAGTCCCCGCTCAGAGGTAAGCATGCCAGCCTCGCATGCATGCAGCATTTGACGGTGGCTCGACGTTGGGGATTTCGGGGCAGCTCCTTTTGCTTGCTATCAACAGGATTGCACGCTCCCTTCTCCACCCGCCCCTGTCCCGCGTTCCTTGCCCCCCGCAGGCCTCCCCTCGCGCCGATGGACTCCTTAGCGGCAGTCCTCAGGGCGGTGCAGGCAACTCGTCGGCCAGGAGTCCCCGCTCAGAGGTAAGCATGCCAGCCTCGCATGCATGCAGCACTTGACGGTGGCTCGACGTTGGGCATTTCGGGGCAGCTCCTTTTGCCTGCGTCAGATAAACGGGTAGCTCTGCGTTGACCGGTGCCATACGGTTGCTCACTGCACGCGCCCTCACCCATCCGCCCCTGCAAGGTTTTCAAGCGACCTCACCCATCCGCCCCTGCACGGATTACGCGCTCCCTTCTCCACCCGCCCCTGTCCCGCGTTCCTTGCCCCCCGCAGGCCTCCCCTCGCGCCGATGGACTCCTTAGCGGCAGTCCTCAGGGCGGTGCAGGCAACTCGTCGGCCAGGAGTCCCCGCTCAGAGGTAAGCATGCCAGCCTCGCATGCATGCAGCACTTGACGGTGGCTCGACGTTGGGCATTTCGGGGCAGCTCCTTTTGCCTGCGTCAGATAAACGGGTAGCTCTGCGTTGACCGGTGCCATACGGTTGCTCACTGCACGCGCCCTCACCCATCCGCCCCTGCAAGGTTTTCAAGCGACCTCACCCATCCGCCCCTGCACGGATTACGCGCTCCCTTCTCCACCCGCCCCTGTCCCGCGTTCCTTGCCCCCCGCAGGCCTCCCCTCGCGCCGATGGACTCCTTAGCGGCAGTCCTCAGGGCGGTGCAGGCAACTCGTCGGCCAGGAGTCCCCGCTCAGAGGTAAGCATGCCAGCCTCGCATGCATGCAGCACTTGACGGTGACTCGACGTTGGGCATTTCGGGGCAGCTCCTTTTGTGTGCTGTCAACAGGATTACATGCTCCCTTCTCCACCCGCCCCTGTCCTGCGTTCCTTGACCCCCGCAGGCCTCCCCTCGCGCGGATGGACTCCTTAGTGGCCGTTCGCAGGGCGGTGCAGGCAACTCGTCGGCCAGGAGTCCCCGCTCGGAGGTAAGCATGCCAGCCTCGCATGCATGCAGCACTTGACGGTGGCCCGACGTTGGGCATTTCGAGGCAGCTCCTTTTGCGTGCTGTCAACAGGATTGCACGCTTCCTTCTCCACCCGCCCCTGTCCCGCGTTCCTTGCCCCCCACAACTACAGCACCAGCAGGCCCCCCCTCGCGCGGATGGACTCCTTAGTGGCCGTTCGCAGGGCGGTGCAGGCAACTCGTCGGCCAGGAGTCCCCGCTCAGAGGTAAGCATGCCAGCCTCGCATGCATGCAGCATTTGACGGTGGCTCGACGTTGGGGATTTCGGGGCAGCTCCTTTTGCTTGCTATCAACAGGATTGCACGCTCCCTTCTCCACCCGCCCCTGTCCCGCGTTCCTTGCCCCCCGCAGGCCTCCCCTCGCGCCGATGGACTCCTTAGCGGCAGTCCTCAGGGCGGTGCAGGCAACTCGTCGGCCAGGAGTCCCCGCTCAGAGGTAAGCATGCCAGCCTCGCATGCATGCAGCACTTGACGGTGGCTCGACGTTGGGCATTTCGGGGCAGCTCCTTTTGCCTGCGTCAGATAAACGGGTAGCTCTGCGTTGACCGGTGCCATACGCCTCCGTTCCTCTGATTTGCACGCCCCTTACCTGTATTGTAGCATGCTGGGCTGAATCGTATGTCCCCAACACTGGCCGAACTCTCCGTCTCCCACCTCTGTTGCTCACTGCACGCACCCTCACCCATCCGCCCCTGCAAGGATTACACGCTCCCTTCCCCACCTGCTCGTGTCCCTGCGTTCTCCCGCGTCACGCTCCCTTCCCCACCGCCCCTGCAACTACCGCCTCCCGCTCCTACCGGGCGCAGGCCTCCCCTCGTTCAGCTGCCGCTTTTGGCGGCTGCAAGCGGACTGTACCTATGCTGTCACCGGTAAGGGGTGTTGTCATAGGAGGCTTTCCCATACTGTTTGCGTGTTGGCAACTCTCACACGTACACGGTTGTACCTACAGGGGACCGAGCACAAACTCCAAGGCGGGGGTTTGCGCTACCATGGCGGCCGTCCGCATAACAAGAAGGCTAAGCGGCAATGTGTTCCGGCAAAAGGCCCTTCTGTTGACACCGCAATGGAGGAGGCTCTCGATGAGGTTGAGGAGGTGTGTGATATGCAGTTGGGCATCTGTGCACTAATGAGACGATTAGCTATTAACTCGTATATGTATTTTGGAATCTTGCTTGCTTAGGGAATAGGGGGGGGGGGGTTGGTGCAGCTCCATGATGCAAAAGAGAACCCTTGACCTTTGGGCCCTTTTCCTTGCCGCACCACTCAGATCACGACCATTAGCAAGCTGGTATTCACCGTCGACTCCCCCGCTGCTGTCCCAAAAGCCATTAACGATTCTGGCGTTGCCATCCTCCATGACTCGGACATCTGCAAGACAGTCACCCCTGAAGCAGTTGAGCGAGCATTGCAACACGGGAGAAAGTCTGAAGCCATCTTCCAGGGCATTGCGCAAAAGCGGAATGGGGAGTTCGTGCCGGAGCGCGACCACAAGGGGAAACCCACTGGCTATCTGATGTCCACGTACGGATCTCGACAGCGGCAGCAGTGCCCTATCGACCCTGACAACCCTGACGATGCCGATGTGCTGGCAGATTTCCGCGGTAGGCATGGGGAAACCCGTGCTATGCATGGGAAAACCCGTGGTTTGTATGCATGTGCGGGTAAATAGTTTGCTGGAACATCTTAGCCTACCGTCCAGACTTCTTGAGTTGCTGTATCCTCGAGTCGCACTTCGTATTGGCTCACACCCTTTTCATCATTCCCTTTGCACGTTGCCAGGTCTGGTGGAGCCCAAGATCAAGGAGGCTATGGCAGGAATGGGTGATGCCAACCTCAAGCTCTACCCTCCCAGCATCCTGCTAAATACCCAATCCGAGAGGCAAAAGCCTGTGGCACGACAGGGCAACCACACGGACCTGGCTAAAGGGCAAAAGGGCGGTGTTGTAATAGCGGCGGTGCAGAAGATGCGGCTCCTGCTGTACCCAGACAGCAACCGCGTGCTGGCACGGTATTGGCAGCTGGAGGAGCTCGTTGACAGCGGCGTGATTACGGAGGAGGACTTGCTGGCGTGGGTCCAGATGCGCAAGTTCAAAGCAGTTAGGGTAGAGCTTGACGCTGGCGACATCATCTTCCTAGATGGCCATACAGTGCATGCGGGTGACTGCGGTATGGACGACTACCCTTCACTCCGTCTACACTGGTACTTCCTGGACGGCCAGAAGGAGAACGAGACCACGCACCTTATCGTGTATGGTGACGCCTTTGCTGCGCAGTTTGGATAGTACAGGAGCAGAGCCACTGCTGGGCACTTTTGTCGACGGTGGCCCATGGGGCATACAAGGGCGGGGGTCGTTGACATGCATCTCTGCAGCTTTTTGCTACCATGTTGGGTACCGGGACCTGTGCATTTGCGGGTGATAAAGGCAGCGTATGTTAACATGACGGGAGGGCAAGCATGTGAAAGTTAACGTCGTGACTTAGTTATGGTTTTCCAGGCCTGTGGCTTTGGTCGATTGATGAGCAACAGGCTCCTTTCCAGCCCTCCTAGCACATTGTGTTTCGTGCCGTTTATATGTTATGGCTTTCTGTTGTTGCTGTCCACCTACGCTTTGCTTGTTGCGACGGGTATGGCAGCCTTGCGTGCAATGTGATACACAGTCGAGGGTTCCGAAGATGTGGACACTTGTGACGGTGGCCCATGGGACATACCGGGGCGGGGGTCGTTGACATGCATCTCTGCAGCTTTTTACTTCCATGTTGGGTACGGGGCCTGTGCATTTGCGGTGGTAAAGGCAGCGTATGATAACGTGACGGGAGGGCAAGCATGTGGAAGTTGCCGTTGTGACTTAGTTATGGTTTTCCAGGCCTGTGGCTTTGGTCGATTGATGACCAGCAGGCTCCTTTCCAGCCCTCCAAGCACATTGTGTTTCGTGCCGTTTATATGTTATGGCTCTCTGTTGTTGCTGTCCACCTACGCTTTGCTTGTTGCGACGGGTATGGCAGCCTTGCGTGCAATGTGATACACAGTCGAGGGTTCCGAGAATGTGAACACTTGTGCTTCTACAGGGGGCGCTCCGACAGGTGGGCTGTATCGGCATGTAGCATAGTCGCTATGTGCGAGGCCGTGTTGAGTTCATTGGTAGCCTTCTCATCGGGGGTAGCATGCCGGACTGTCCAATTTTACAGAACCCTGAGGGAATTCCTGTCACTAAAGCCCCGCTCGTTTGCTGGTTGAAGTTTTGTTTGGCTAAACATTGTTGGCGCCTCTAAATAGGGTGCCAAAAGCCTGGATGGAGTGCGCACTCCACATGCCTTGTTCTCGATCCTTCCACGTACTCCTAGTTGTTCAGGCGCTCATTCAGGGCCCTCACACAATTAAAGATTCCAAGTCCACAGGACACGTCTTGTTCGGATAAAGCGCTTTCCGTACAAGGTTACTTTCCACCATATTGAACCACATCAGCTGCTCTCCTTGGCTCATTAGGATGATTCCCATCTTTGTAACATTGAGTATAAAGCTGCATACCAGGCTTGTTTACACGTTCGTCGTCTCAACAGTCGTCCAACCTCCTTTCGGGCTGCTTGCCAGCATCTTTCACTCACTTGATTACCTCAACTCATTCAGCATTGATGGCAGCGCTTATCGCAGCGCCCAAACATACTCTTTTCCTGAGACACGGGTTTAAAGCATTATGTCAGAATACCAAAACGTGTGATAGCTTCCATAGCGGCAATGCTGAAAATGCCAAGAAGCCTGCTCTTACGCTCCACGGCACATGCCAGGGCACAAAGGGCGGCCAGACATCCTGCCCGCCATGTTACCTTTGCCCGCATGAAGCCTGCCGTGAGCAGTGGAGCCGGGTTGGAACTAAAACCCCGTTTTGCTCAAATGCCTGCCTTGCGGCGCATTTCAAGATTCACCATGGGTTCGACGCCTCGGCCCTGGTAGAGTACCTGTCTCCCGAGTACGCCGCCTTGATGTATGCAGACCTTGTCGACTTTATGAACGGTGAGGGTTTGTATGTTGCGGTGTATCATTAGGTTACAGTTTAACACTGCTCCCTACAACTTGCAACCCTGACAGACCCCGCTTGGAAGGGGAAGGGGACCCCTTCCAAGTACGAGGAGTACTTCAACAGCTTGATGGAAGCCATTGCGGAGAAGTACCCAAACACGCAGCAGCTGGCGGGCGCACATGACAGGTGAGACTGGCTGGAAGGTACTGTGGCACACGGAATGGGTCAGGGACGGCTGGTCGAGGCAGGGATACACATGCATGTGGCGAATGAGAGCTGGGGCCGGTCAATACCTGCCCCGTCATCTCCCTTAAGCATATCTCAGTCACATTCCTTACGATCACAACGCTTTCCCATCCATACCTAACCGTGAGAACATCACCTGGCCCTTTTGGCTCTTCACAGGATGTCCAGCGCTGTACTGGACGAGCTGGGACTGCCATGCCACACGCCGGGTCCGTTGCTACCACCGTATACGGTAGATGACCCCCTCAGCCACCTCCGCAGGATGGTCGCCGAGAACACCCTCCAGGCGCATGTCCATACACTCCGGAAGGAGGTATCCGACGTGGACCAGGCAGCGGCTGATAGCCTGAAGCAGGATGCGGTGGCTGTCGCCACTGCAGCTGCCTGGTACCTTGGCGGGCGTGAGGGCACCTTGGGCTTGATGAACGTTCCCTCCGCAACGAGCTACACCAATTCAGCCGGGGGCAATACCACGTTTACATGCCAAACCTGCCATAGTCTCCTGAACTTCACTGCTTATGGGGTGCTTCCTGCCGGTAAGCCGCTGATGCATGGCCCTGGCCCTTATCATAGTCGCAAAGACGGATGCATATGTTACCTGGGGCATGAGGACACGTCAATGCGAACCCCTGATCTCCGTATCTATTTTTCGTGCCTGCGAGCTGCACTTAAATCACTACTGAGGTTGCCTACCGCATTGCCCTGCAAAAAACGGCGACCCCTACAGGTGAAGCAAGCAAGTTAAAGGAGTCTTTCCCTGAGTTCTACTGCACCCGTGGTTGCCTGCCTCCGCGCCACATGGACTCTGCAAAGCTCTACCGCCTTCTTGGTAAGTCGTCCTAGTAAGGGCTCAAATGCGAGGATGTAGCCTACAGGGGGTACAGGGAATGTGGGCATATTGCGTGTCGTCTGCCTCTTTTTAGGGGACGCTTTAATCTGAATGGGAGGTTGCCCAAAGGGAGCTCCGTCCGGCACGTTGGGGATTGGATAACCTCCGTCCGGCACGTTGGGGACAGGGAAGGGCAAGGGCTTGCTGCATGGGTATCCTGCCAGCATTTCACCAAACCGTCGCCAACTATGGCTGCAGAGATGGAGACGTGCCAACAAGCCTACAAGCTCGTAAATTGGCTGCACGTCGAGGGCATGCCACCATACATACCTTTGAGCTCAACCAACCCGTACAAGACGACACTCACACAACAGCTGCCCAGTGGTCAGCTTGACCGCCTCGACCCGCCCTTCGACGTGCAGACAGGGAGGCCGCCGCTGGTTACTAAGGCAAGTGCTTGGCCATCCCAAACACAGAGCAGGGCGGGTGGGTGCACAGCGGCGCTTGATTGTTACTTGGTATCTATCATGGACACAGGGAAGAAGAGCCGTAGGGTGACATGGATGCAACTACTTGTAGCCTTGCTCTATGTGAAGCTGGCCGTGGTATTCGTGCATGCAGGACTGGCTTACGGCAGAGCTTGGGCGCAACCATGCCTGCACAGGTCTTACAAGTGTGGAGAACTGCGTTGCAGCAGTGTTCGCACCCAAGAACAAGTCATACCGCCTTGTCAATCTGAACGTGAGTGGCCGGATGGACCAATGACTTGTTACCACATCAATGGATGAGGAGCTAGCTTTAGTGGTGAAGCACTGCCGTATATACCCCATGCCAGTTTCGCCTTCTTTTCTGATTGCTGTGCTGTTCGCAACAGCCGATACCACCGCCAAGTGTGCAGGTATGTCTCCCTATAACTACCGGCCGTTCCTATGCAGGTCCCCAGCGGCTCTAGCTCCTGGCTTTACGACATCCGGGTTGCGGCAGTCAACCCCGGGGACTTCTTGGGCACGTCATCCAACGTCAATTTGCGGGACAGCACCCTGGTGCTGTGTGGGGCGAAAGGCAAGTCACCATGGATGTGGGTACGAAACGGGGGTTAGGGGCCAATGGAGGCCAGCAGGCTTGCCAATCTGCATGGAGGGCGCGTTTCACAGTTCGTGGTACACACTCCGCAAGCATCATGGCATAAGTGGTGTCCTTTGCCCCGTACAGGTACGGGAACGGCGTGCCACATGGACCGCACGGAGGCGTTCAACGTGTTGTTCGCCCCTGAGCGGGAGGACGTGGATGCGTCAAAGCCGTGCGCGCTGTGGACATTTGTACGCCCAAGTGCCATTGGGGCGTTTGGTGATTTCCTCAGCAAGCACCCTGCATCGCCCGGCGTCGACAAAAGCGCAAAGAAGGACAAGAAGGACAGCAGTGTCGTCGAGTGGGAACTACTGGCTGCAGCAACCTTGAAGGAGAAACGGCTGTCACCTGATGGCTCCCGCAATGCATTTCACGGTGGGCCTCTTGTGGATGGGGGCAGTGCGAACGTGTTCCGGCCATTCGTGCGTGACGTGAACGAGTTGAGGGCGGCTCTAGGGGAGAATAACGTGGTGGTGATTGAGCAGTACCATGGTGATGTCGTGCACGTGCCGGCAGGATGGATACATCAGGTGGAAAACGTGCAGGCCTGCCTGAAGCTTGCCTGGGATACTCTCAACCCCCGGCGTTTGGTGCATTACTTTGGAGTGCAACGCCTGGTGGTGCACCACGGGCTGTGGGGCTATAGCCCTGAAGACTACATGGCGATAGAGGCTGTACTTGCAAAGGCCATTCCAGAGATCATGAGGCATGTCCAATCAAAGTGAGGGGTGTAGGTACTTTGCACTGTCAAAGGGCCCCGTGGACAGCACAATCGCTTGTAGGTAATTGTGTGGGTGTTGTTTGGGATGTACAGACGCAGTCTTAGGCTTAGCTTTACTCCGGGTGCCTGCTGCATCCGATTGGCAGCGGGTGCGTTGGGATGGGAGGGGACTGCTGTACGGACCGGAAAGGTGGCGTTCTCAAGGCTGCAGCCAGCTAGGGGGCTGCAGGCTTAGCTTTTCACCGGGTGACTGCTTTTCCTTTAAGAATGCTGGCAGCGTTTGCGTTGTGATGGGAGGGGACTGCTCGCCGTACGGACTGGACGGGTGGAGTCGGACTGGAAGGGTGGAATCCTCAAGGCTTTAGGGCTGAATTGTAACTGCTGGGTTTTATTGCTAAAGCGTGCGCGTGTGTTTGCTGCAAGAATGCTGGCAGCGTTTGCGTTGTGATGGGAGGGGACTGCTTGCCGTACGGACTGGAAGGGTGGAGTCCTCAAGGCTTTAGGGCTGAATTGTAACTGCTGGGTTTTATTGCTAAAGCTTGAGCGTGTGTTTCCCTCGGTAATACGGCGTCGTATACCTAGGTCTACATTTTAAAATGTTCGCACTAAGCCATACGAACAACATGCTTTGCCTGACGTGCGCTGAGGGTGTCATGCAGACGCGTCGTGCACAAAGGCGCATGTGAGTTCGGGGATTAGGCGGGCGGGGGCCATGAGTGAGGGCTGCGAGTATGCACCGGCTAGTGTGTTATGTCAATGCGGTGTGTTCCAGACGGTTGCAAACCCAATACCAATGTAGTTTGTTACACTGACAGCATTCGATTTGCCTATGGCAAGGCCTTAATTGCGCTGATTAGCAGACTGCAGTGCGACCGCAATGGTCACTGTTGAAAGCCGGGAGCGCGCACTCCACGAACAGCGCCATGAAAACTATGACTATGCTGTATTAACCAGCAGCTGCTGAGCATTTCAGAGGCTTTCGTATGCAAATGCGCCACACTGAGCATACTGTCTGTAACAGGGTGTGCCGGATTGCATCCTTCCATGCTGTGCACAAGATTGTAAGTCAAGATCAGTTTGGCAGTAAATAGAAACATCAGATGTAACCTCTGATATGCTTAATGGGGGCTTAGTGGACCTCGTTGCTTACTTGAAGCCTTCCCTTCAACCACTCCGTACTGTAATGGCTATGATGCCTTTGGCAATTCCTGAACTTGTGCTCGCCGATTGTTATAGAAACATTCGATTAGACTTACAATACAAGAACGTGTAGGCCAATTGTGTAGCGAATGGGCCCCTCTGACCTGGACGCGGAGCGTGAAGCGACCATGGCTAGGAACAATGCCATTCTGGAAGAGATTGGCTTAGGAAATGCCTGCAAGGAGTTCAAGGATGCTGCGGCTAAACTTAGGCCAGTGTCGGGCAAGAAGCGGCAACAAAGCACTAAAGGTCCGCCACTCCGCAAGTCTTCCCGTCTGGAGGGGCGACCCCAGCCAGGCAACGACCAGGAAGTTAGCGACGAAGATGAGGAGAATGAGGCTGCTGTAAGCCTGGATTCTGAGGAGGAGAAGAACGGGACGGTAAGCAATTGACCTCGTTTGACCGTGGCAATTCGTTCATAATCAGCCACATTTCGTTGAAAATAGCATGTAACTTTCAGGTAACGGACGGCGACGAGGCACCTGAGCTGTGGTCGGATGAGCAGGAGGGCTGGGCAACCGGTCAAGGATGGAATCTCGAGGATGGACCCGGCGAGCTGCTTCACAGGCTGGCGTTGTTCCAGGTCATCGGCATTAGAATGGATCAGCGCGAGTCCTTCTTGCGGTGGTACAAGAACTCGCGGATTATGACTGTCGAGGGCATTACCGCTCAAGACCTGAAGATGCCATGCGCCTTCACGACTATGTTTGATGCGGGGATACAAGAGCGCCTCACGCAGGTGAGATGCTAAGTATGTAGGAGGATGCTCCGTTCTATAGATATATTAATCCGTGCATGGATAGATAGCAAGTAGGAATGACCCGTGGGTTATTTTTCTTGTAATGACTGTTAGTTCCGACCATTCCCTCTCCTGCTTCCCATGTATGGCCCCATAGGTAGGCATGTCGCTTTTCGACGTGAAGAAGGTGGAGAAGGCGATGGAGGAGGCGGCGAAGGCGGCGAAGGAGGCAGCGAAGCTGCTCGAGGCACCCAAATCACGAAAGTCGGGCTCGTTGCCAACACCAGGCGGCCCCTCCCTCGGGTCGTCCTCTGCTAACCAGCGGCAGGGAAAACGTACCAGCGAGAAGGTGACCAAGAAGATTGAGAGCGTGTACGGGCAGGCTGTGTTGGCGAGCCGGGAGGCCTTCAAGAGCCTGGAGGTAAGTTACGATTTGGGAGGGCTGTACGGACCTTTCCTGTGGCTTCACTCATTAACACCTGCAACATAAAAGCGCTGTGGTTGTACGTTTGGATTGCCGACCTTTACCATGTGGCAACTTTGTTACACGCTGCCCCCCCCCCGCACACACAGCCCTCGGTGATGGAGGCAAACGACTTGAAGATCATCAAAGACATGGGGGAGCACATCCGGTGCCTGCTGGGCGTGGGACAAGGTGCGCCCATGGAGACAGTGAAGGCCAGGCTGCGGCAGGCGGTGCAAGTGAAGGCTAAGAACATGCGCCGATGCAGCAAGCCAAGTGAGTTTTGCAAGGGAAATCAAGGGGCATATGTCCTACCTTTAAGCGGGTTTTACCTTTCATGACACACACGCCTTATTGCGGCCTGTTTTACGTTGTTACACGTTGTTTCCCCGCCCTTGCCGAACCCATGTCTCCTTCCATCCCTCCCGTTATAGAAGACGTGAACCTGGACACGGTCGATGAGGAGGAAGGCCTGCAGCCGGCATCACCATCAGCACCGGGTGAGGAGGAGGAGCCAGCCACGCCCGAGGTGCCCAAGCCGTACATGTGGGCTAAGCTGCCTGGAGGGGACACGGAGAAGTACGCTGCGGCTGACAACCACCTCGACTGGCTGGCGGACTTCGACATAGGGGACAACGCAGGGTGCATCCTTGTGGGAAGCCTGGACAAGGACGAGTTGGTTCCGGTAACACTTGGCTGCGGCCTGCTGCTGGACCCACTGGTAAGTAGCCTTGCTGGGCTTTTACATCTGTGTCGTTACGTTCTGGCTGGTGCCGCAAGTATGCTGCACCCCCTTGAGCTCATCTCTTGCAACAGTCGCATACCTTCTGTCCTGGCAACCCCATGCGCAAAACCAAGGTTTGTTCGATTGTATGTTCCCGCACTGACGTGTTAGGACGCCAAGACCGACCCGGCGGCTACCGTTGACGTCCTGGTCTTTGGCATCAACACTAACGTCAAGCGCACCAAGAACGCTTACATGCCGTCCAGTGTGGGCGGCAAGACTAGCACCTTTGCGCTGGAGGAGAAGGACAAAGACGGCAAGCTGGTACGCAAGCTTGCAAGGTCCCAGACGGTAAGCTGTAGGGGGTATCGTTGACATCCTAGGACCCAGGGTGTGTGTTAAAATAACCCGCCAGTGCTCACCCTTCAATCTCTTCGCAACTGTTGTCTTCCAACCCAAGAACCGAGCAATCCATTTAGGTCTTATTGCAAGCAATTGCCTAGGAGAAGGACATCGCCACCATCAAGACGTGCCTAGCGCAGAAGCGGCAGGCACGCGCTGTTGAGGGGAAGTAGTAGAATGCGTAGGCTTGTGTGGCGTACAGCGTCCTTGGTTTTACCCCTTTACTCCCTGGACGGATGGCCACATAGTGAGGATCATAATACGACTCTGAGATGCACAAAGGAAGCACACCGGTGCATGGCATGGGGAAGGCATCTGGACCAACGAGACAGCGTATTGCCTGTTGTGACCATGTGCGTCGCAGATGGATGCTTTGCGTTAAACAGACTGTACCTATGTGTTTCACATCATGCCGTCGAAATGACAATTCGGCCCAGGTGCATAGGGCATAGCGTGGGGGAGCGTGTTGTGTTCAGTTGCATTACCGCATAGCATTACGTTAGGACACCCGTTTTTACCAACACACATGTTGCTTCATGTTGGAGACTCAGTAATTGGCTTTGGAGTTGCTTGGTGGCAGAGTGAAGGAGCTAACCTGTCATACGGCATATATATTCCTCTACTTGTTTTGGATGTTAACTGGGCAGGCCCTCATCTGGGGCGTAGTGCCAACACCTGAAGAATGACGAAATCAAAGAAGAGCATAAGAGCCCTAACTTCTTGCTTGTTGTGAATGAATGGTTGACAGTTACAATAGTTCGTGTTGTGTCCTTCTGTCATGGTGCTGCCAAGCAGCATTCAACCGTCAACTGGGCTCCTCATTGGCCCTTTTTAACCTGACGACCCCTGTTTACCTAATCAGTCAGCACACGGGCTCCCAGCTAATCCCTTTTTATCTAATCCGTCAGCACTCGTGCACGGCTCCCAGCTAATCCCTTTTTATCTAATCCGTCAGCACTCGTGCACGGCTCCCAGCTAATCCCTTTTTATCTAAGCCGTCAGCACCCGTGCACGGCTCCCATCTAATCCCTTTTTATCTAAGCCGTCAGCACTCGTGCATGGCTCCCAGCTAATCCCTTTTTATCTAAGCCGGCAGCACTCGTGCACGGCTCCCAGCTAATCCCTTTTTATCTAATCCGTCAGCACCCGTGCACGGCTCCCAGCTAATCCCTTTTTATCTAATCCGTCAGCACCCGTGCACGGCTCCCAGCTAATCCCTTTTTATCTAATCCGTCAGCACTCGTGCACGGCTCCCAGCTAATCCCTTTTTATCTAATCCGTCAGCACTCGTGCACGGCTCCTAGGTAATCCACGTTAATCTAATCTGCCTGTGCATGGTTTTGGCTTAACATGGATTACAGTAACCCCAGCAAATCCAACTTGAACCATTCTAATCGGATTACCATGCTTGCACAACTGCACGTGCACAGTCGGATCAGATCAATTGTAATCCCTTTCGATCCCCGTTAAGTCGGAAATCCGGAAATTTTGATCCGTGGTAATCCGGGATCATCCAGCTCAAAGTCGTGTACACGAGAACGGATTAACAGCCAAAACAGCTGCGGATTAACCCATAGGGGCCGTTGGTAGGGCCCTGGAAAGCCTATATATAGCGAGTTCTTGATTATCACGTAACTAAGCTTTTGGCAAAATCCACAAAGTGTCTGGGTGCTGACTTTCAGATCAGCATGGGGCCTTGCTTGCTTGGCCAGGAAATAACAATGGAACGAAATGCGCATAGTAACTAAGCAGGTTCTGTATATGAGGAAATTTATGACATTTGGCTTTGGGCGACCGGACTTGCTTCCCAGAAACTAAACTGTGTGTTTGTGGCTCATGTGCCTACGCTTTCTTAAACACACAAGCATGGCTCAGAATATGCCAAGGAAAGCCCATTGAAAACACCAGGAAGTGGAATGGCACAATAGAGTTTTGGTTCAGAGTTTGATGGAATGCTTCACCAAAAGGCTTCCTGATGGTGGGCAAAGGTTGGCTCGCCACTCCCACATGGCTAGACATCAGGCTACATGGCTACCCCAGCTTATGCGCACACACATGTGCTGCAGAAGCATTGGATTCAACTCATGGCCTTTGGTAGCCTGGAGGTAGGTTCCAGTTCGTCCAATCTGACTCTACACCCCTGTACTCGGGGATAGTGTTTTGTTTTGTTCCTTGTGTTAGTTAAATTGCACACTGTACGCCAGCTGTGTACCACTCTATGTATACGCCCAGCTACACATACATACAGTGGTACTTAGGTAGCATGCAGCGGGCTGTTTACGGCTCTAAGCGTGCTGCCTGTAGGATGTCCAATGTGTTAGATCACCCCAGTCAGCAGCAGTTTGCTTTGCCTACGGAGCATTTCAATGAGCGTTCAACTATACACTAGTGACATACATCAGCCCTATGCGCGGAATAATCCATGTCCTGTAACCACGCCTTATTACTGTGCATTTCCTGTCCATGGTTACTCATTCTGGTTTGACCCATTCTTTGCACTCTGTCCAATCCATCTGGTGCCCTGTCTGTCCTGGCTCGCACCCCCATTTTGACCTCCCTATGTACTTTGCTTGCCACACATACAGCTCTCTGGTGGTTGTGCCTGGCAGCCGTTTTATATGTAGGTGCATGTATGTAGATATATCGCCAATCCGCTAGCGGGGTGAGAGGAACTAACGTTACTTTCATTGGCTGTATCTTGTATACGTTGGGAGCCTATTCTTGTCCCCCCCTTCCTCCTGGAGGATACTAGTGTGCTAGTGTTGCTAAGCTTTCCTCCAACGTCTGGACAGCATGCTGACAGTGCGCATATCCGCAAACTCCCCCCAAGGCCTTAAGTGGTACGAATCCCGCTAGAAGAGGGGGGTTCGCGATTGTACGGCAGGCTTATGCATTTAATATAGAGATTGACTTACTCAATGGACATCAGCAAAGGTCCTATGGCTTAATGGATAAAGCGCCGGTCTACGGAACCGGAGATTCCAGGTTCGATCCCTGGTAGGATCGATGCACTCAATGCTCCTGTAGCTCAGTCGGTAGAGCGTGCGGCTGTTATCTCTCCATAACAGCCCACCGCAAGGTCGACGGTTCGAACCCGTCCGGGAGCGTCTCTTATGCACCTGTGGCCGAGTGGTTAAGGCGCGGCCCTGCTAAGGCCGTAGGGTTTCCCTGCGTGCGTTCGAATCGCATCGGGTGCGCTTTTTGACATTGTTATTGAAACGCTTTTCCCAATTCCAATTCTAAGGCTCTAGCTCTGCATGCACAAAAGTCACCATCTGCCTTTTATCCTTTGTAGGAGGGCCACGCTAGATGGGGGCGGAAAAACTGGCAGTCTGCAGATGGGTGTGATGTACTGTGTTGGAGGGTGTATGCAAACTAACCAGGACACACAGTGGCCACCTCTTACACAGCGCCAGGCACCTCTCCGCCCCACATCTCACAACAGCCTCTGGTACCACCCAACCATATATATAAACCACTTCAGGTGCTATGGTCCTGTCCGGCTTTAACGAGCTGATAGCCTCATGCTTCCCTTGCATCACTGTTTTGGAGCTCACGTGTTTTCAAGTGATCATGTTCACCTACAGTGAGAAGTGCTGCTGCTGCCGCCAGCGGTCACAATAGGCCTTCTAAGGACTCTAATATTGGTCAGCCAAACTTTACAACATGTGCTTGTCAGTATGTTTTAGTCTGAGGGTATGCAGGAATAGAATACATATATGTAACACACCCATGCCCTACATGGCAGGGGCCACTGATAACTAACCTAGTGTTGGCTACACTTTAGCAGCGGGCGGTAACCAGTCATAAAATGACGAAGCAGCCAAGGTGAAAGGCAAGCACAACGCAACAAGAAGGGAGAGAGCACTCCAAATGCAAGCTCACGCCTAAATAAGTGCCACTGTATATGATACTTAAGGCTCGTGCTTGTGCATAAAGGTTTTACAACTACATGTTTGGATTTTATTTCAGCACCAAAAGACGTATTTCCCAGCTCCTTACAGCCTGTTGCCAACATACAGTCCAGTAACTTGCAGGCCCAGTAGTGAGCAGGTTGGGCTTTAATTGGACTATGTGCACCTAGTGCAGGTTTTGCCTGCTGGGATCTTTCCTTAGCACTCCGATTTCTGGTGTTGCCTGGATCAACTGACATGGGCACATGCCAATATGACAGCGTAGTGGATGAAGCCCTGCTTTTGCCTATCCATGGGTAGGCATAAGGCAAGCTATGATAATGGGTTGCAACTTGGCCAGTGTCCAGCCATACGTTGGTGGCTGGAATGCAACATGAAGCTGGTGAAAGGTTTGACTGGGCATGTTCACACAGGCGCCCCCTGGAAAGCCTATATATAGCGAGTTCTTGATTATCACGTAACTAAGCTTTTGGCAAAATCCACAAAGTGTCTGGGTGCTGACTTTCAGATCAGCATGGGGCCTTGCTTGCTTGGCCAGGAAATAACAATGGAACGAAATGCGCATAGTAACTAAGCAGGTTCTGTATATGAGGAAATTTATGACATTTGGCTTTGGGCGACCGGACTTGCTTCCCAGAAACTAAACTGTGTGTTTGTGGCTCATGTGCCTACGCTTTCTTAAACACACAAGCATGGCTCAGAATATGCCAAGGAAAGCCCATTGAAAACACCAGGAAGTGGAATGGCACAATAGAGTTTTGGTTCAGAGTTTGATGGAATGCTTCACCAAAAGGCTTCCTGATGGTGGGCAAAGGTTGGCTCGCCACTCCCACATGGCTAGACATCAGGCTACATGGCTACCCCAGCTTATGCGCACACACATGTGCTGCAGAAGCATTGGATTCAACTCATGGCCTTTGGTAGCCTGGAGGTAGGTTCCAGTTCGTCCAATCTGACTCTACACCCCTGTACTCGGGGATAGTGTTTTGTTTTGTTCCTTGTGTTAGTTAAATTGCACACTGTACGCCAGCTGT